AAAAAAAAAAAAAGAGAGACTTGCTGGCAAAGATCACAACCACTGCTGAGCTTGTCTTGACAAGCTCAGCAGTGGTTGTGATCTAGTCTCTTTATCGACTTCTCTAGATAAAAATACTATTGCTGTATAACTAAAATGCGGGAGCCTTTTTTAGATTAGGACTGGCAGTGATCATGTCAGGTCTCGGGAGCACAGTCGCAGCTGGCCAAAGGTGGCTGGAGCTCTCTAGCATGAAAAGTGGAAGTGATCCTCAGAGAAAGACTCATGGACCCTGCCCAAGCCTGGCCCTTACCTTCCAGTTTTCCCAGTGGACCAATCTAGGGACAAAGCCAGGCACTGCTGCTCCAGGGCAAGGCTGGACAACGGCTCCAGCATGTGGCCGCTCTTCTACTGGAGAAGGAAGAACTCCGTCAAAGGGAAGTAGGCCCCCCAGAGCCCCCAGAAGACGCTACCCCTCCTGCAGGGAAATCATGGTTCCCTCATTTCCTCCCTACGTGGATGAAGTGCATCAGTCCCTGACACACTTCCACCTAACCCTGAAACCCTGCCACGGGCCAGGCACCGGGAAGACGTGGGGACACTGGAGCCCACACTCCTCACACTCTGGAGGAGGACCTTCCCACAGGCTTGATCCTGGGGCACGGTCTCCCACCCTTTCCCGCCCACTTGCATTCTTGCGCCCCTAGATGCTATGAGACGCCTGTGCAGGCTCCAGACCACAGTGGCACGCACAGTTCCCCACTCAGGCCTCCAGGGCGCTGCACACTCACCTCCCGAGACAGACAATGGGGAAACCCCTCTGGTTTCCACTTCAAAAGCTGTAAGTAGCCATGAGAGCGTGAGTGCTCTTTCCACAGAGCTACGTAAATTTCATGTCCTAAATAACCTGGCCCTGCTCCCAGCAGGCTATTGCACCAAAGCCCTGCCTGGGTTCACGCCTCCTCTCTTGGGCCCACAGCTTTCCTGTGGCCGCTCTTTCCCTCCTTTCTAAGACAGGGCGACTGCTCTGAGCTGCCTGAAGCAAGGGCCTTTCTACACAGGCCTTGGGTTGCCATGAACACAGGGCTGGTCTGACCTGTGGCCCAGCCCCAACTACAGCACCTGCATCAGAGTGACGGCACGGTCTCGGGCTTTCAGGTCACCCCACTATGTGACATCCCCCCTCCTCTCCCACAGCTATCAGATGAAGTCACTTTGCTAATGCATGACTCAGGATCACTGTGAGAAACCCAGAAAAACTCACACAGGACTCAAACGCTTTCTTTTCCAATAATCAGTGGGCAACGCCATTTTTTTTTTTTTTTTTTTTTTTTTTTTTTTGATACCCAGGCTGGAGTGTAATGGCGCGATCTCGGCTCACGGCAACCTCCACCTCCTGGGTTCAGGCAATTCTCCTGCCTCAGCCTCCTGAGTAGCTGGGATTACA